GAAATCCAATATGAATGTGAAGATTGTTCTAAAGTAGTGCAGAATGTGTGCCGTGCAGTTGCCTAAAAAGAACATTTCTAATGCGGAAGAAAATGCATTTTTATACTTTAATATATGAGAAGCGGAGGGTATTTACTCTTTTTTTTTAAAGGCGTTTTTAGAGGAAAATTATGTTACAAATTTTACCTTTCTTTCTTTCTTTTTCTCTCTCTCTCTCTCTCTCTTTCTTTCTCCCTTTCTTCCCTCCTTTCCCCCTTTGAGCTTGTATGTGGCACTGGGGATTGAACCCAGGGCCTTACACATGCTAGGCAAATGCTCTACCACTGAGCCACACCCCTAGCCCTATCCTTTAATTTCTACACTTTGCAGACTATAGCCCAAACACCCACCTACACAGGCATTTTGCATCAAGATTTGGAAGTCAAAAGACTGAAAAACAAAACACAATTATTTATATAGTGTCTTCATAGAGATTTCCATGTGGATTCAAATGAGGCGACGGCAACTGGAGGAAAACGAACCATTAGAAAGAAGCGTAACAGAAAGTGTGACTACAGTTTGGCCCACAAATGGAAAAACGGGGGCTATGTGTGGGTTTTTTTTTTTTTTTTTTTTTTAAATGACACAGGGAACACAACCGTATACGGGCCTGCTCACACAATCCCCTCCACCCCAAGGCTTTCCTTGAGAGCTACCAACCCCTGCACTACTACTGCCGGTGCTCCCCCACCTTACGGATTCAGTTCGGGGTGCGAGCTTCTCCCCCTGACGTGGCTACAGACACACAAGCCCATTTCTACCCAGCCCCTCTCTGGATGCAGGCCAGCTGCTGTCCTCTCATCTTTCAGGGTGCAACATTTAGTGCAGAGCTGAGGTCAAGAAAGGCTTCTTTAACCCGGTGGTCTCGACTTTCCCAAGGGGGTCTCCAGCATTTCTGACTCACTGACCAGCCTGCACATCACAGGTGGACACAGTCACTGTCCCTAAAGGAATTCCCAGAAGAACTGTGCAGGCCAATTGTGGCCACCCGGCTTCAAGAAGGATGGGCTTCCTCTATGGCCACCAGCAGCTGGCCGCGGCGGGCCTTTCCTCTGCTGGCAACACCTGAAGGGCCACTCCAGCTCCTGAGTTCCCCATGGGTTGGCCAGGCCATGGCTGGGCTTCCCTGCAGCTCAGCTCCCCCTTCTGTCTGGTGCAGCCTCTTTCGTCTTGTTCCTTCCTCCAGTCCTAAAAGAAAGTTCTAAGCAAGCAAAGCAGGTGCTGTCTGCTGCTTCAAAGTCAGCTTCCAGCCAACTCAGCCTGTGACAGCACCTACCACACACGTGAGCAAGCCTGCCTCCCACTGCCCTGTCACTGCCCTCAGGGACAGGGGTGACACAGATAGACAGACTCTAGCCTTGTCCTTAGCGAGCTGACTGACAGCCGGGCACAGGAGGAGGGCACTCACTACACATGCTATCTGCCGGTGCCAAGGGAGAATGTGAGTTGAGACTGCTGGGGAGGAGGCTGGCACCTCACAGGAAGCTCAGACGCTCCAGCAGAGACCGAGGCCGTGGCAGCCAGGGTCTGTCCAAAGTCAGGCCTGGAGGCCAGGACGGGCTGTGTCCTCATCCTCTTCACATTCCTTCAGCTCCCAACAGAGTCCAGGGCTTTGTGAGAAATCCTCAGATGCAAGGCGACACTGAAGGGAAACTCCGGTGGGTCAGCTTTCGAGGCCAAGCTGCTGGCTGCCAAGCTCCAGTGCCAGGTGCTCAGTGGCCCCACGAGTTGCTCGGAAGCTCAGAGAAGCCCCAGTGCATTCTGGACTGACGACACAGCTACTGTGTGGTGTACAGCAGGGGCAGACACAGTGCACAAGGACAACAGGAATGAGAGGGGGAAAGGAGACTTCTAGCCAGGTGGCACATCACCCCTGAGTAATCTGGCCCTCACCTGGCAGTCTACCCAGCATCAATCTGTCCACAAAGATCACTCAGCAGCAGTCACAGGGAACCCAACCCTGGGAACTAGTGACCCTCAGACCTTACAGCGCCGCACGCCTGCAGTTCACTGTCCAAGAGGAAAAGGCCCTGACGCAAGCACCACTGCTGAGGGCTGAGGAGCAGCACTTGGGCTGCTGCCCTTCTCTGCCTCCTGGGCATCTCCACTTGGCTGCCCTCACCCACCTCCACATGCCACCGTCTCCTTCTCCTCTCCTTGATCTCTGCAATCTGCTGCCAGCTTCTGGTGTTGATTTCTCCGAAATGTCACTCTCAGCCTTCCTCTTCCGTCTCAGCTCTACCAAATTCTCCAATCCCTGCCTCCCTGCGTTGCTGCTGCGGGAAGTGTCAGGGAACCCAGTTATCCTCTGGCTGTGTCTCTGCTTAACTGCCCTGGTGGCTCCCAAATTTTTAGGCCTTCTTCACCCTGGGCCTGTCGCATCTACCTCTTTGTGACCACTTATGGACACTACCCACGGCTGGTCACTTTGTCTACATGGGCCAAGCCAAGGACCTGGGGGGACAGGAAGGGAAGAGTTAGGGGTCTGCCATCCTCCCAGATCTTCTCGCTTGTGGTGCCCTGCCCCAAGGCATGGAAATCTCATTCTGCAGCCCCTTTGCAGGCTCCAGGGTGCCCATCATCTGGACTGCCCTGGGCCCCCTCACAGTGGCGGAAGCTCTCAAGCCAGAAGGGAGACAGCTGACACTGTTAACATTCATTCCCCTCTTGCTCCTCAGGAAAAACTCAATCACTCTCAAGTTAAAACACAAAGCTCTAGGATTCCTGGGAGATGGATGGAGGTTGGGTTTGCCAAAGAGAGGCTCGCCAAGTTGGGTCTCTGGAGTGAGTCCAGGGTTCCATAAACCCTGCCTCTCTGCTAATCAGAAGATGATGGAAAGACAGAGGGGGCTGCAGGCGGCGGAATCACACAGAAGCAGCCCCCCTGTGCTCCCTAAAACAAGAAGCCATGCACATCAGCACAGGGCCCATCCCAGCTCCTGCCCCTCGGCCTCTGCTTCTGCAGGGCGTCTGGTGAGATCTGGGCTGTGTGTCGTGGAGAGACCCCTGCACAAACACTCTTGCAGGAAGTACAGTAAGAAGTGAGCGGCCCATGAGAGGGCCTCACCTTCTACAGACAGCTGACCAGGAGGGCAACCATTGCAGGCAAAGGGAAAAGGAAGGGGAGCCCCTCTGGGAGGAAGGAACCCATCCAGGTACAGGTGAGCGGGAGAGGAGGAAGGGGATTCTCCAGTCTTCACAATCCTCCTGAGGCTGGAAGATGGCTCTAGAACCTCTCCATCCCTTCCCTGGGGCTGGGAAACCAAGATGAAAAGGGGTGGAAGCTGGAAACCCCTCCCCAACACACACAAACAAACGCGCGCGCGCGCGCGCGCGCGCGCGCGCGCGCACACACACACACACACACACGCTGAAAAATTCAAGGCAGGTCTCTGCAGGAATTGCATTAACATGCTAACAACAGCATTGATGCTGATTGTCTTCCGCAGGCCTAGTGTTTTCTATTTGACAAAGCCCTGAGGTCTGCTGTTTAGTATTCTCACAAACAATCTAAGCCATGATAATCAAGACAACAGTTCCCCGCGTATTGAATGAAAAAAGTTTTTCACTAGTGAAAACTAGTTTTTTCACGTGTTATTTAATCCTTATAAGCCCACAGCACTACCCCATCCCCATGTACAGGGACACTGTGGTTGGAGACCTCAACTCACCTGTTCATCGATGGAGACTGAAGCGAAGCTCTTTCCAATCTGAGTTTGGTCTCTTAAAATGGAAAAATCCAACTAGTGGCTTTTTCACAGCTCCAAAGAGAGCAGCTCTGCCGCCGCCGCCGGCAGAAGCCTCCTGCCAGGGAGGGGCTGCAGCACACAGGTGTTCACAGCCTCGGGCAGGGACAGGGCACCAGGCTTCTAGCAGGGACAAAAGTCAACCCCTAGGATAATACACCTGTCCCTTAACCTGTAGCACCAAGAAATTCACTTGACAGGAGTCCACCAGAGCCAGAGGGGAGACTGGGCACCCTGATGTGACGGAGAATGGGACTGAATGCCTCCCTGAGCCCCAATCCCACGTAGCATGACAGCTCCTGTCATTCATTAAAATAACTGCTCAACTTGCAAGATTTAGGCACACGAAGAAAGAGGCAACGACTCTAGGAGACACAAAGTGCAGACCAATGGGACGGCTCAGAGAGCAGGTTTCCCATCCCTGTCACACGCATGTGATCACAGCGACAAGGCTGGCTGTTGGGGTGCCCAGAACCGGGGAGAAGACACCGGAGGGGAACGCGGGAGGGCGGAGGCATAGGGCAGCAAGAGCAGCACGTTGTGCGTTGTGTGGAGAAGTGACCTGACAGCTCTGGAAATCTGGACGCCCAGAACCCGGCGCAGATGACGGGCCAGCGCTGTCCCGCGCTGCACCGCAGCCCTCCTGGAACTTCAGGTCCCCAGCCACCCGCGACACGGAGACGCGGAGGCGGGAGGCTTGTGTCCCTCGCACCCACACCCACGCGCGGGGGGCTCTGGCACCCAGGAGCCCTCCTGGCGATGTCACCCTTCCGGTCCCCAGCCGGGCTCTTCCCACCCAAAGTGGGACCTGCCTGGGACGCGCGGCCGCAGCAGGGGTCGCCGGCCCAGAGGGGATCCGCGGGGCTCTATCCTGCGAGTCCCAGTCGCCGCCCGCTGGCGCCGCTGGCGCCAGTCCGCAGACTGGCAGGGGTCCTAGGCGCGGACCCGAGCGCAGGTGGCGGTACCCGGCCGAGGGCATCCGCGGGGTGGGGGTGGCGTCCGTGGCGGACAGACAGCGGCGGCCGAGGCAGGAGGACGCCCTTTCCTCCCGCTCGCTGTCGCCTCTGCGCCCGGGTCCCCAATCCCGCTCGGAAAGTTCTCCCGAGGGCTGACGGCGCCGCGGTCTGCAGCAGCGCGGCCTCCCCGCCCCCACGCCCGCGCCCAGCAGCCGTCCTGCCTCGGCCTCCCAGCCGCGCCCGGCCCCGGCCCCCGCACCGAGCTCCCGTACCCGCGGCGC